ACGATGATGTCCGTACGTGTGTGTGTGTGTGTGTGTGTGTGTGTGTGTGTGTGTGTGTGTGTGTGTGTGTAAACCTCTTGTAACTTTTGAACGACTTGACCAATTTCATCGCGGTTGGTGCCATTCGAAAGGGCTTCACTAAACTTAGATTTCCTGAAAATTTGAACCGATTCGGACCTGTAGATTTCGAGAAAATGCAAAAAAAGTGAAAAAAAAAGTAAAAAAAAAAGTTGTTTTTTTTTTATTTTTTTTAAATATCTCCGAATTGGCTGAACCGATCGATCTCAAAAACTAATCAGCTCTTAACCTTGAAAACCCCCATCGATCACCACCAAAAACGTTAGAATCGGTTGATGCGTTCGTGAGATATCGTTGTCGAAAAAAATCGAAAAAAGTGTTTTTTTGTAATAACTTCGAAATTCATGGCTCGATCGATTTAAACTTGAAAATTTTTCATTCAAAAGTTATTGCCGTTTGAAAATTCAAAAAATTGTGTCTTTAAACTGCTATCAGAGTTTTGAGCTCGAAGAGCTCAAATTGACACAAAAATAATATTTTTGAGCTCGAAGAGCTCAAAAACGTAATGTGTAGTTTGAAGCGTTTAAATACAAAATGAGCGGGAAGTTGCAGGGATGGCCTTTAGGGTGAACCGTTTTTCTAATTTTTTTTTTTTTCAATTAATCGATCAATAGTTCAGAGCCTATGATTAAATTTTATTCAAAAATTACATTTCTAAAATTTTGCATGTCTTAAGCGATGATGACGTATGCTTTATTAGCTTAAAAATTAAGATCCTAACATTTTGTCACATTAAATCATACTTGACAATCATGACGTACATATTAATGATACAAAAAGTCTAGTGATAAAAATAAAAATCATCGTTGAACTTATCGAAATTTTTTTTAATCAGTTAATTGCTATTTTTATAAGAAAAAAGTGGTTTTAAGGTAGTTCCAGCATGAAATCACTTTTTGACAGATTCGGCTGAAATTTTTTTCACGGGTTCAGAATAGCTTTATTTATAAATTCCTAAAATTTCATAATTTTTGACCGTTTAGATCGCGAGATACTTAAAGTCAAAGTTGGCGATTTTGAGGGTCATGTTCCATTTAAAGTATGTACAATGTCCGGTCTTTTCAACTATTTTTTATTATATTAAAAAATTCTCTCGACAGAATTGGAAAAAAAATTAGGAGAGTATTGAAAAATGTTTTTAGAATAAGTTAAAAAAATAAAAATAGCACCTCAGCGTTTTGTTATCGAGATATAATAATTAAAAGAAATAATTTTCAATCCATTTCTAACTTGCTCATTGAACGATTTATAGCGATTCGGCAACGCCGTACGCAACGCTCGTTGAAATTATGTAGCATAAAAAGCGGGAAATTCAAATCTTTCACGGTTTTCAAGAGCGACGTTGCCAGATCACTAGACTAACAATATGTAATTGTATGTGTGAACGTCTGTGTGCCGAGGCTTTTAAATTTTTGTCCATAGTAAATGCTCTGACTATACTATACCACGCTGGAACTACGTTAATAGATTATAGTGTCGATTTCTCATTTTTTTATTAAGGGCCAAATACGATAAGTTTTGAACAAATCAATTTTCCAACTCAATTAATTTTTTAATCTCCTTATCTGTGACATAAAAACTTGTGGAATAAAAATAGCAGCTTAATAATCTTTTGTTTAGCTATAGTTAATTTTATTTTTTGCTAGAAACTGGGAAAATTTGTTGTTCTTTGAGTAGCCATACATAAAAATTTATTTCTAATGAAGATGATACTGTATTCAATATTGTTTTATTGGCTGACCGCCGTTAATACAATTTTCAATTGGTTATTTTTTATAATTCACGCATTGGAACGAAAGAGGTCGTTCTATTCGTAGGGAAAAATACTATCCGCAAAAAATTTAAACGAGCTTTTAAATTGGATTTCAAATAAAATTAATTCTTTGTAATTCATTTGTAATTAACTTACCATTAAAACTAATTTTTAAATTAATTCTTGTCTTGTACAGTAGATAAAATTGTTTTTTCTCTGAACATTGGATATGAAATTATTAACAAAATTGAAATAATATTAAATTTATCAGTGAAAACTTGTTGTATATTTAAACTTCATTTCCATCAATTCACGTATGACACGAGCGCTTAAGGCATGTACATTTAAATTGACCAAGCTTTTTTCAAGCCTACTGAGGCGACTGACATCAAATTTCCAGGAAATCGCAGTTTAGAAAAGCTCTCTCGAATGCTGCAAGCTCGAACTCAATCGGTTTATTCGGTGAAAAAATATTCGAGGATTATGCGTAAACGCACATACGGATTCTAAAAATGGTTGGATGTATTATTCTAGTTGAAAAATATACGATACACGTGTATCGATTTGGAAGAATAATAGACTCGGGGACTAGAAATTACGTCTCAACAGAAAAAAAAATTTAGACACACGTCAGACTAGAGCGTATGTAGTATGCACCGTAAAACAGAGCAATAAAACCTACTGTTTTATTTTTTCAATCTTCTATGGAAATATGTTAATCTATCATGCTTCAAAAGTTTTCGAGAAGAAATGCTTAAAGCTCTTAAATGAAAATACGCAAAATATTTTAGTTCTTATTATGAAAATCAATAAGCCTATAAATTTTTTTTTATTATCAGGATGATTTACTGTAGAATAAAAATAAAGCACAAGACATTGATAAAAAGTAGAAAAACAATTATTTTTAGTGTATATTAATTACCAGATATTTATCCCGTATCTAACAATTAAAAAAATTTCAAGTGATTTTCAAAAATAAAAATTTTGACGGATTGTTAGAATTGATTTAATCTTAAACGTAAAAAATAACTTAAAATGGAAAATACAAAATAGAAAGCTTCTAACGCTTATGTTATCATGAAAAATTATTAAATAAATATAAAAATTTTGATTAGTACTTTTAATGATTTAGATATAAGTACATACATGGAACTAAGTAATTTGATTTTCAATTTACTATGATATCATGGTAAATGTTATTGGCAATATTAATAATTTTTACTGTTAATGTTAGTAAAATTTTTCAGCTAACTTCATCAATTAGTAGCATTAATAAATTTTTCTATGGACACTGGTAAATTTTGTAGTTTTGCAATTTAACTTCTTTGGACTTCCATAAATACATTGTCGACAGTTTTATTATATGAAAATTTTTCGCAGTGAAGATTGAAATTAATAACTTTCTTATTTTAAAAAATCATTTATTTTTTTAAATGATTGATTTATGTCACTCTAAAACTAATATCACTAACAACGACGATAAAAATTTTAGTTTCTCTACAAAATCAGTCAGTTTCAATTTTCTCTTATCATTTTACTGCTTGATTACAGAAATTTCATACGGTTACACAGAAAAAAGGGTCATCGATTTTCTCTGCTTTAATAGCGCGAAAATCAATTTTTCTTTTCTTCATTTCCTTGAAATTATTATACAATTTATAGGACACTTCAAAATGTCCTGCGCGCAATTATTGGAAACAGCTAATTTTTTTTATATTTTAACACATTGTAAATATATTTTTAATTGTACTATCATAATTAAATAATAAAATCTATTTCTCAATACCATTTCATTAAATTTTATTGAAGCTAAAATTATCTTGAATTATTGTTGTGCCAGTTATAAATATTGAATTTTAAATTAATTATTTTTCAATAGCTCTTTATAAAATTGAACATGTACCAATATTTCGATTGAAAAGTTGTTTTCTGCATTTTTGTTTTAATTTAATCAAAAATTGATGAATCAACAATTAGCAGTGTTTAACAATGTCAATTTAATATTGTTATTAATAATTACTCAACTCAAACAAAACAATGATTTTTAAATTAAATTAATGTAATTCATGCAAAGTGCAGTAATTAAAAGTTAAATAATCAATGTAGTGCAAAAAGTGTATTATTCTTCAAGTTAATTAAATATTAAGCTTTAATATAAGGAATTAAAATTATTCATTATCAAAAAGATATTGATAAAAAGGTTGTTCAATTTCATTACAAAAATTTTTCAAGAAAAAATTGATTGTAAACAGAAATTCTTACTTTTTGTAAATTTTAAAGTATCACGAAAAAAACCATTAAAGTTGCTGCATATTCAAAGATTTGTACTACAGAAAAAAATTTTTCAATCGATTTTCGGATTTTCGTGCTTTTTTTTTTACTGCATTAAATTTCAATCTCAATTTCAGTTGAATCCATAATTTCTTATTAATCAAAATATAATCGAAACTTGTCGAGGAAACCAAAGACTACCATCAAAAAATCTTAATACACTAAAAAAATTACTTGATTCAAAAGAAATAATGATAATTTTAATCTAAGAACACAATTATTTGGTAGAGAACAGATTCTCTTCGTTCGAGAATTTCAAGTATTAAAAATTATTTTGTTCTACTTAGTTCTAGTTTTCAATCTGCATGCCACTATCTCGAACAGAAAAAAAGTTGAAATTTTTCCCACTATAATATTTATAACTTTTCTTATTTTCATGAATAAATTTTAATTTTTGAATACAAGTTAATAAATTCGCATCATACGAAAGTGCTCCTATGAATTATATGGTCATCATTTTCAAGCTCGAACTATTTCATCAAAATTTATGATGTATGAATGCATAACTTACCAAAAAAAGTTTTCTAAAGCTATATTAATGTCAGTTAATGTTTAAATAATTGCAAATTATTCAAACATAATTTTCATCTTTTAATTATAATACATTATTTTAATTGACTATTTGAATCCTCAAATTTTTTTTGCAACAAGCAATCGAGACTGGATATTTGACTTGCGGTTAAACTAACAAATTAATGAATCGTTGCTTGTAAAAAAAACTTGCCATCGTCAGAGCTGCAAATAAAAACTCGTATAGAATAGAGAAACATTTTCAATCTGTTTATTCAAGAAAAAAAAAGGAATCATTTGACCGTGCGTTTTCATCAAAGCGTTCTGTAAAGTTTAATATTTTATAGGATAATATTTGCTCTGGCGCAATGAATAGCATACATGTATACGTTCGTATAACCTTAATACAAACTTGCTCGAGAATTTTTTATTAGATATTATTCAGATAAGTTCTTACAAATCAAAGATTTGTATTTTACTACTGAATCAAATATCTGAGTGAACACTTATTGACTCGACAATTTAAGCGACATCCTAATTTTCTGTCTTCGTTGAGAATTGCAAACTATCTGGAGGTATATACACCACTTTTTCATTGTTAACCGCATCAGATTTAGAGTTTCAATGTTTGAAGTCTGTTGAGGCTAGCCAATAACATAAGCCGATTAAGATTAAAAGCATGTGTACTAATACAACTGTCAACTCGGTTTGTTACGATACTATGTGGTTGTTCGTAAGTTTGTAAGACTAATGTATCTCGGACGTGGAGTCCAAAATTACTTTAATTAGTTGAAGAAACAAAAGTTTTGAAAATCCAAAAGGATACGACTAAAAATGATCATTTAATTTGTTTTTAAAAACAAATAGGGAAATGGATGTGCAATAACTACCTAACCTTAAATGTAGAGGAAACTAATTACATAACTTTCAGCTCATACAAAGACAGTATTTCAGATCATTTTGTATTAAAGATTTATGATAATGTTATTAATAGGTCTGACAACTGTAAATATTTGGGTCTAATTTTGAACTGTCATATGAGATGGGATAAGCATATCAAAGAAGTTATAAGAAAAACATGATATTTCATGTTTATTTTCTATAAGCTAACAAATATAATAAATCAAAAAGCCTTGAAAATGATTTACTACGCATTGTTTGAAAGTATT